AACGGAAGCATCTGTAATCAGCTATCCGATCATCCTTAACACTTTCTCCTTTTCATTATATCGTGGCCAAATTTTTCCTTTGTAGTCTGAACTCTGCTTTGGGAACATGGTGTCTGACTTTTAGGGAAGAAAGCACTCATGTTTTCCTTCCGCTCTCACAGCTCATAATTCACAAATCAATGGGAAAAAGCGCCGCCTTTTGAATGTGATTATTTGTGGAGCCTTTTTCAAAGGAGGAACGTCGTGGTTACCATCGAAGCACTTGATACTAAAACCTAGTTGGAACGAAGCAGACGCTCCGCATATGGCTGAAACAGGTCCCCTTAAGGCAAATAGGGTGAAGTATGGCAAGAACATGACATGCCTAGTTAGAAACTGCAAAATTAAAAGGTGTTAATGGTTGCTATCCACAACGGCTCAGTCCGTCGCAGGGGGTACATACCGCTGCGTCATCCAGGCCAGAGATGAATAGGTATCTTTGGGGGAATCCCCATTCACATTGGCACAATACACAACTAGTTAGTACTGATTAACCTGCTCGTTTTTCATTGCCGTTCAAAGTACAGTGTTTCACAGATTACTGCCGATTCGAACAGCTGTTCCGCAGTACTTGTATGAACCCAACCCAGCGAGTTCAGCATTGGCCTGGGTGTAGTTGACTCACACCGAACATGATATGCAGAAATGTTCTTGATAGGTCCAATGCATTATAACACCAGGCTGTACAGTTGATATGTGGACAGTGCGGGAGAACTGAGGTTGAACGGTGAACTGGCTGATTGGGAAACCATAACAGTGGTTCCTTTATACCCAATAGCCTTTCATCGGCCCATCTGAACAGCAAAATTGTTGGTGCTGTCCAAACAGCCCAACCGAACCGATGCGGGCTATCGGGAGGAGGCGGAAGAGAAAAGGACGTGCATATTTCTCAGAAACCTGCTCTATGGTGCAGCATCTGGTGGGCATGAGAGTTTTGTGTGGCTACGAGCATGAGAAGTGTGAATCAATGCGTCCGAGCAACAGCAATGCAAACAACAGGATTGCAACGGGACAAAAAGGAGACTAACTACGACTGCGCACCTGTGTTTTGTACCGCAGGAAGAAGTACATTGAATGTGACCACTTTCACGCTTGTCTGCTTTTCAACGAATACCCAGGGTGCAGCGAAAGTGTGAGTTGAATGTACCAGCTTCGAATACCGGTGTACGCGTATGACCATTCTTTCGGTTTCCTGAGTTAGCAGCCGCGGTTCCACTTCTATTCTGTTTTCTTTTTAACTGAGGTCTAAATACACGAAATGGTGCTTGGTAAGGTGAACCACATACGCACAGCTGCTCACTTTCACACGTTTCCGGTACAGCGTCGTATATGTGTTAGTTGGAACTCAGACAAAACGCACGATGCAATCGCTGTTATAGTGGACATAGTTTGGTGACGCGCGGCAAAGAAGAACCCGACCAGGTGTAATACATATTGCAAGACCCAGTTTTTATTTCCGCCTTAACCAAATTGACAATCTTCGATATCTTGTCAGCTGCTTTAACACTTCTGTGTTTTGCTCACTTAAGTCATATTGTTAAGAAGAATAACTCGAAAGACAATCGGTTCCGTGATAATGCTGGGATGATTTCTGTAGTGAGGTCACAACGCTTTGCCCGCTTTCGCTACACACTCATTTACTTGTGCGGCGAGCTTTTTATCTGTGAACAACCCACTCAGTGCACATGAGAGAGGTGTCGGTAGGTATCGGTCATGGTTGAATTGCTGGTTAAATAGCGTGAACTTGGGTAAGCCATGACCTGCTCTAGACCACTAAGGTATCACAACCTTGTGGAACGTTTCACACACTACCGTGGCAGAGCACGGATATGTTATCAGCATACTGGTTGGCATTCACCATTAGTCGAATTTACCATATTGGAGGACAAAAGTGAACAGACACGTGGGAAATTGACAAGCTAAACCACAGAGTTTAGGATGGATACCGTCGGCTTCCCTGAAGCTTAAAGCCGACTGGAATACGCGGATCAAAGAAAGCGCAAAGGTCGCGAAATGTAGCAATCCAGCTACCGAGGATTTAGAGTGAGCTCAACAGGAGCACCGACATTCCCGGGCGAAAAGGTGTACATTAGGGAAACAACGATAACCGGCTAATAATTTTAATGCGCATATGCCTTGCATGAAAATAACAGATGACTTACTTCATTAATATCTTGAAAATATAATACATACACACATTATACACGTTAGATAGAAGTGGGAAACACCTCAGCTACTGTGCGGCGGTACATAAAAAGGGGAAGAATAGCAACAGGTGCAAACCAGCTGAGCTACCCGTAAACGGATGGACATGGTTCCGGTAAGCTACCAGTCGGCTACTATGCAGCAGGAAAAATAATTTACTATGCAAAAATATAAAATGTTAAATAATGAGATCATAGTTGGAGGGGATGGGACAAAGAAACTCGCAGCACCAACGTCACTGAGGTCGGCTCCTAGCCATTTCAAAAAGTGTATCCAGCCAAACGTGTTCATCGTCTCTCGGACCCCAACCAGAGAGCCGAGACGCTCCGACTGAGGCCAGCTTCGAAGTGAGGACCTTCATTCCTCTTGACCAAATAATCGCTTGACCACCTCTCCTCTTCTTCCATCCACACACCCGGCGCGCAAACAACGCACGTCGCGGGAGTCGGTGGGCTGGCATACGCAAAACGTGGCCGAGCCATCGGAGCCTGGTACGTAAAATAACGGTGCTGAGCGACTCATTTCCTTTTCTTGTGCCGTAAACAAGGCGTTGAACACTCTCGTTGCTCACGCATTGTTCCCACCAGATAAGAGCTAAACTGCGAAGGCACCGGTGGTTGAACGTAACTAGTCTCTTTATGTCCGCTGCTCTAAGGGACCAGGTTTCACAGCCGTACAATAGGGACGAACGTACCGATGCATTATACACTCTACCCTTCAGAGCGAGAGTGATGTCCCGCCAACGTCATAAATGACGAAGGTTAGCAAAAGCGCCTCGAGGTTTTGCTATACAGTTCATGATTTCATCTTCAATTCTACAAACGCTAATACAACTTCCCAGGTAGTTGAATTTTTGAACGACTTCTATCTGATCCCCACCAACGGTCGGCGTAGGAGGCGGGCCAGGCCAATCCTGGAGAAACGCTTTGCACTTCGATGGTGCAAACCAAAGCGCGAAGCGGCTGACAGTCAGTGCTAATCTGTCCAGAGCCGCTTGACATGTTTGTGAGCTGTCACAGATTAGGGCAATATCGTCAGCATACTCTAAGTCAAGAAATTGTCCTCCTGGGAGCAGATTCACACCTTCTAAATCGTGTCCTGTGAACGCGATTTCCATGAATTCGTCAATAGTGCAGTTGCAGAGGAAAGGTGACAGTGGGCATCCTTGTCTCACACTGCTGGAGATATTGAAGGGCGACGACTGCTTGTCGTAAGCCTTCACTCTGCTTGAATTACGCGCGTATGATGCTCGGATAATATTTACATATTTCTCAGGTAGACTTTTCCTGAGTAGACAGTCAAAAAGTGAACGTCTATTCAAGGAATCAAATACACCTTTGATATCGAGGAACACGACAACGGTGGGCCGCCAATATATGTTACGGTGCTACAACAACTGACGCAAAGTAAAGATGTGGTCAATGCAGCCATGATCTCGACGAAACTCGGCTTGCTCTTCACGAATATGGCTTCCACGAGTGCGAGTCAGTCTGTGAAGGATGACAGAGGCAAGCCATTTGGAGGCGATGGAGATCAGGCTGATTCCTCTATAGTTGCCGCATTCCGATCTTGAGCCTCCCTTGAAAATTGGGACTATGACGGAGTGGCTCCAGTCGGTTGGGACAGTTTCCTGCTCCACAGTTTCACTACTAACACGTATACATCATCCGCAAGAACAGATTCCCCGAATTTGAAGAGGGCTGGAGGAAGATCATCAGGTCGCGCGGCTTTATTTAACTTCAACAGTGAGATATCACGTTCGACTTCTGGGTGAGAGGGTGGATCTCAAGGGACAGCCCAGGGAGCTGGGGGTCAGTGGCCGGCAAAAATGTAACAATTCCGACCGATTAAATTGCCTTCCAAACTGCTAGGCCCAACGCTCTAAGCATTTTGACAAGCTGTGGATAGGCTGTCCACTCTCGTCACGTATAGTTTCACTAACAGCACACACATTTACATAAGTATATTCACCCCTACACAAATATTCACTATTATGACTATCGTATCGGGTTTTTGCACCTTCACCACACATTATTATGTTAACATGATAATGCCTGTAAAGGAGTGCTTCGCCTTGTTGGGAAAAAATTTTTATTTATTTATTTATTTATTTATTTACTGTCACTGAGCAACCGTTAGGTTACTGTCCCCGCGGATACCATTACGCTTAATGTCGCATTCATTGTCCAAGTTCCTTATGTATGCAATATACTTTTGTTGCATATGATATAGGGCTCCTGATGTCTGTGTAATCGACCGCGCTTGTCTCACCACTGTGCAATTCTGTTTCGACCAAACAGTGACAGCGCACTCATGACATGCATACAATCGGTAAGCCCTCACATCCGTGTGAGCTGCATAATACCGTTAAAGTAAAACGCAGGTGGCCTACCGCAATGTAGGTTGAATCCATAACCCTTCACATAGACGGTACTCTTGCGACAGAGTATCCCATCTGTCTAACGTTTTAGCCAACAGCAACAAGGTGGAGAGATGTAATCGCAGTCGGTTTCCCTCTCATTTGGGCAGTAAAAACATATGGGACCACTTCTTAGTAAGGCCGCAGTGCTTGAGATGTCAGTTGTCTACGCAAAGGTAAACCGAGCTCCATTTTGAGACCACATCTAACTCTCATCATGACCTAAGTACTATGCTACCATCTCACTCTCTGGTTCACATTACAAAAGTAGTTGGTAGGAGGGTAGGGCCAATACAATTTCCTTGTCGCACTAAACTTAACATTTGTAATATCTCACCTCTTCTTGTTCACGCTCCATCTTGTCGATAAACTGCCGATGCCCACGATACAGTTGATATATAGTATTTTGGAAATCCATCTCAATACAACAGTTCCGCCCTGAACAGCTGGCTCCCATCTCAGGTCCTTTTATCAGTGGTAAATCCAATTTTTTAGTCAACACCTCGGAGCTATCTTCATGCTCATCCTGAAGAGTGTTGTCTTCAGCAGAATCTTCCATTACGTCATCACACATATTCATTGCGTAAGTCACATCGATGCGACTGCTCGCCAGTGCACAATTTTTGTTTCACAGCGAACAACTCACGTGCTAAGTCTGACGACCACGTGCGGCTGTCGATTTAGTTGAATGAAAGTGAAACTACAAATCTCTTCGTTGGGTACTTTTAAGGTAATCTGTGCCACAAAACGGTCAGAACACCACTGGCATTTGCAACTGTTGCTCGGAGAAGTAAAGTGAAGTTGTACTCTCATAGACACCGTCAGTGGGTGTCAATGGGAAACGGAACATTTGCGTGGGTGATCCTGGTCCGCAACTGGTATATGGCACTTCAAAGCGTCCATAAGCGTAAAACAGATAGGGAGCACTTCGATATGTGCAAATAGCCAGTTGCCACCACCTCATACAGTGCACTCCAAGTGCAACAGAGACTAGTTTGAAGGGCTAAGCGCTCAATTAATCGTGGGAGAGCAAGCAAAGAAGGCACAAAATCAAGAAACCTGCTGCCTCACTTCGGAAACCTAGCACATCATAGTTGGTCTCTGCTTATTCCCAAGTATCTAGTATTAGCGAAATAAGCCAACCGTACGCGCACATTTTGTCAGGTTATTTGATTTCCATTTACGACCGAAGATGAAAGCTTACTTTTTAGCGTTTCACTTGTGGTGCAAAAACGCTTTTCATGTGTGCCTTAATACATAGTAACATTTGCGTGGTAGGCTGATCGAGGGCCAATTTTGACGGTAGGACGGCAAGTGTTAGTCTCCACCTGGGTGGTTAGAATAACAGAGTAAACGAAACGGAACATGCCAGGTTATTGACAACGCCCTAGAACGACATGTACCGTTTGGTTAAGGAAAACAGGAACAGGATATGTTTTCATCTCAGGGTAAAAATCGACAGGATCTTAGTTGAATAGCCGATGTTTCGGACAAATTGTTTGCTTACCTCATACGATGACATAGAATGCAGACCAAATAACCATACTTTACTACGTTACGAGTCTAACACAAACTCAACTGACGTTTCTAAGCTACGGTGCATATTGAGTAAAGGCTTGTAATTTACGCTTCTGACGCTGCCTAGTTTCCGAAGTGGACACTCAAAACAGAATTTAGTCTGGTACAAAGAATAGGTCTGCTTTTGTCTAACATGCTTATGTGTAGTAACAAGCCAAACTTTAACTGCAAGTCAGCAAGTTTGGAATATGGTCTCGTCGGTGTCATAGCTCTTGATGGAAACACTCTTGCCGGATTTCGGAAAGCTGAATAAGTCGGCGGACCATGTATTGCGGATACATTGTTATGATCTAGTTTTAATTTGGACACAATATATCTGCTTTTCCATTTGTTCAGGGGTATTGTCTTCAGGCGTTAGGTTAAGCTGAATTATCCGCAGCTTCAGGGTAGTTGCGTAATTCATATCTCTAATCCAAAGGTTAGCACCACCTCATGGAACGTAGGTCTCGGTGTGATTTTGGTGTATAAGTCGTTTGGCAGATAAACTCATGCTTTTCGGTCGAACGAATAATTCATGCAAAGTGCATGAAACTAGCGCTTCGTCCGGATAGGAATTTTGGTTTACTCCCACATAGTCGTGTTTAAGCAGTTAGCATGTATTAGAACCCGGTTGTTGTATACCAATGGGTTATGCTTGTCCAGGACAGCCATGATCCGGTTTTCGGAAAAGCATCTGCATACCGTTGACCTCGTAACCTGTTGTTTCCTGATTCGTCTAGAGCTGTTACAACCGTCTTGATACATAACTCAAGGAAGAGCGAACAAATTCAGTTCTCAGCGATTTGTTTGAGAACGATTCTCTACCACCGTAGGTAGCGCCATCTCTTTGGATTTCAATAAACTTGCACTGATCAGATGGTCTGGTCCTCTAACGAAAGGTCTGCAAATCAATCGCGCATCCAACAAGACTGTCCAAATACCCCATCCGCTTCGGGGCTGCGGGTGTTTTCAGTAAAGGACATACTATCCCCTGTATGCACTATTCGTAGTGAACAATTCAGGTATCGCTTTTCTGGATTATGGGAATAGCTGTGATGTTTTGATTTGGTTAGTTTAAGATTCTATGCTCCTAAGGTTTGCAGGTGCTAATTTCCAAACGTTAACGTATCAATAAATCAAGATAATATGTGGGAACAAACTGTTGATTATGTCTTGAGTTCTGGCACATAGTTTGATTTATACGTTATTGCTATGCTTGTCCGTAACGAATGAGTTCAATTCATTGACTCCAACGTGTCATATACTGGCACGATCAATGACAGTGGATCAGTGTCGATTGTAAATCACTGCGATTAGGTGTGGGATTATGTGCCTACCTGGTCTTCCACCATTGCAATAAAAGGATCTCTGTCTGTTGAGCCCCATCGTGCTGTGGGGCCAAGCGAATTCATCATGCTTCCAATGACACGAATCGCAATGCTGATGATGGTCGCTATAGTCAGCTCAATATGCGCTGCAACCACGCAGGAGCCAACAACAAACGCTGCCGCAAAGTCGACCGAAGCTCATGGAGCCGAACAGGATGAGCAACACGAACGTTGGGTTATGGTGAGTCACCAGGAGCTGAAAGAACTGTTAGGGAATTTGAGTTCACTGGTGAACGCAACGCACTTGGATCTGTTTGAAAATGGCACCTTAGCAGTTGTACCAACAGAACACAACGAAGCTATGACCGAAGGGGGGTCGGAAAACTAGACAATGAATTTAAATGTTCCAGAACAAATGAACACCCTGTAAACTAGTAAATACATGAATCCTCACTTTGCTACTGCTGCTGTCTTTCTGTATCGCCGTTTTAGAACTTCATTTGATGGGTGCGTGCAGAATGGTGAATTAGGTGAGTTTCGGGAATTAAGGAATTTATTTACCTGTCAGTGGAAACAAAACATTCATGCCTAAATCATCGTGTTCGACGTCACAAACGTACAACCTAAATGAGGCATAATGGATACAGGGCGTCATTTTGGATGGTCCTGTTCGCTTACGGATGCAGATGATGTGTTGTTACCCGACGGTACCGAAGCCCCTCCCATCCGGAAACGTACTGTGTACCCAAGTTTTCTCATCTCCTAAGTAACAAGTGAGGTTTGAGAGGAGATAATACTACGTAATCTACTTCGTTAAAATGTGATAAGTAATCTGGTTATTTGTTCCCCTAGAGTGAGATACTGCTGAACCCAGGGGTCAATGGGCTTTACTAGTGTGTTGCTTGCGTTCTGTGATAAATTTAATTGTCTGAGCGGTCAAAGGCCACCAAATATGAAAATCACGTTGATCCATACATAACAATGTGCTTGTAAAAACGATTAGTCGCTTTTGTTCTGTATGGGATACCATCTGCTTACGTAATCTGAATCAAACGGTCCAACACCGACGAACAATCCTATCCAAGCATCGCATTTTCCTCGATAGCTCTCATTGGCTCAGTACCAGATTGGGATTCTTTATGAAATGATTGCTTTGGTGGGCCTCCCCAGGTTATTTGGGAGGTGTTGCACCTAAACCGGAAGTTTCGAACCACGTTGTAAGTGTCAAACAAACGGTTGGTATAACAACCAACGGGAAATTCTGTCACATAATTGATTAGTGTTCGCTCCAACGCCACACCAAAGATTAATGCGTGCAATTCTAGTGCACGTGACTTACAGCCGAATAAGCGTAGCAAATGTGGCCGTAAGCCGGTTTGTTAAGTGACGGAATATGGCATAACTAAACAATTAGATCCACGTATCAGCTGGGTCAAAGCACTTGGGAGTTAGGTGAGAATCGTTACCGTCTACTTAAACCACAAGGGGGGGTTTCGTCGATTCTACCATCGTATCGTGCACGACATGCTCCAAAATTACGTCATTGACAATCCCGTCGTTTGAAAGCTGCTGGTGTCCATCATACTTCGCAGGCTATCCCCAACGCGCGAATAGTTGCAACGAGAAGAACAAGCTGGGTTTCGTCCTGGTCGCGGCTTCATCGATCAAATCTTTACACTCCGCCAGATCCTCGAGCACCGCCATGTGTATCAGAGGTCAACAATTGCTGTGTTCCTGGATATCCGTGCAGCCTTCGATTCTGTCGATCGTACGGTACTGTAGCACTGCCTACTGAGGAATGGTGTCCCCTAGAAGTTCGTCTCCATACTGCGCGCCCTCTATAGTCTGACCTCGGGCAGGGTTAGGGCTTATGGCAAGCTTTCGCCTACCTTTGTGATCTCCAGTGGAGTTCGACAAGGATGCCCTATCTCTCCATTCCTATTCAACTTTGCCATTGAGGATGTCCTGAAGAAAACTCTGGGCGATTCGTTGAACACTGGCGTTGTGATCCTCCCAGGTAGTCGAGTTGTTGACTTGGATTATGCTGATGATATCGTCTTGCTGGGTGATGATCAACATGTCGTCCAACTTGCACTAAACCACTTGGCGATTGGAGCATCAAAGTATAGTATGTACTTTTCGCTAACCAAATGCAAGGCTCTCTTCCAAGCCTGGCAGATGGCTCTGCCTGCACTCACTCTTGGTGGTGAAACACTAGAGGTTATGGAGAGTTTTACCTACTTGGGAAGTTGCATCACTGCTGGCGGGGCTGTTGAAGACAAGATCTCGATGCGCATCTCGAGAGCAGGCCTCGCTTTTTCTAGGCTGAGGCATTTGTGGCGTCGCCACGACATTCTTCTCTCCATCAAAGGGCGGGTCTATTGTGCAACCGTTCGTGCTGTACTGTTGTACGGATGCGAGACCTGGCCCATTCGTAAAGATGACTTGCGCAGGCTATCGGTCTTCGAGCACCGCTATTTGCGGTCCATTGCCCGTGTGTGGTGGCAGCACCACATAAGTAATGTGGAAGTTAGGCAGCGTGTTTTTGGACGTGGAAGCCACTCGCTCGAAGAGCTCGTCTCACTGCATCAACTGCAGTGGTCTGGACATGTATTGCGCATACCTGTCCAGCGTTACCCACGTCGTGCGTTGTTTGCGGTTGCTGAGCAGGGCTGGAGAAGGCGGTCCAATGGACAACCTAGACAAAATAGCTTTTGTTCTTGTTGCACTTTCTTATTATTCGTACTGTCTTCCTATTCAGCCATGATTCCGATGGCACAATATCTGTACCACAGATTTTGTACAGTATAGTTTATATATATATATATATATATATATATATATATATATATATCTTGACAACCCAATTCTGGATTAGGTCGGAACGTTCCACCATACACCTCTCTTGTAGTTAATGTCTCTAGGATTCGTGTCTGGCGCAAGTGGAGTTTCGTGCAACGTTCTGCGATTATCGGTGCGTGACATTATTTCCATCTGATTCGACTATCGTCACGGTGATTGCACTGACTAATGCTCACCAAATTGCAAATCACGATCAACATCGATTTTGCGCTTCATAACCCAAATACACAACGATTACTTCCAAATAGATTCCCAATTGTATACGTGATATTATCACTGTGCGACATTTCTTGAAAGACATTTTTAAACTCATGTACTTTGCCTCACTTCGTGCTATTTTGGGGAAATTATTCCAAAGCCTGCTGTAAGCGATGAGAAAGATGTTTCCTCCCATTCTTGTTTTCGTCCATGGAAATAGGATTTTGCAATTCACATCACAAATGGAATAGCTGCTATTTGGCCCCAAACGCAGATCGACTCCTGCGATTTGAGCACGTGTATGATTCTGAGGAGAAAACAGTAGTTTAATATTAGTCTTTGCGACCATATATGTCCCAGTCCAAGGAAAGTAAAATGCTCACGGTAAGGCAGTTTTGCGGGGTATCCAATTATTCTTTCGAGAAGTTGGCGCTGAAGTCGTTCAACAGCCATTTAGTTGGACTTTCGTGTGTTTGTGCATGTTATCAAGCAATAAAATTTGGTTGGAAGTACGTATGCTTACGCAGTCGGAGCCGGGATTCACGGAGTGAGAAAGAACGGCAAGTATATCCAGCGGTATTTCATGCCTTTGATATCTGGAAGTCAAGCTCCTCTGAGAAGTTGAACGTGTGCGAGAAACCCAAGCCTACTTCACTAACTGATGTGCATTCAGAGATGTTCATACCACGCAGGGTAACGCTGTTTAACGGAATGTGACACTTATACGGTAAGCTACTGTAAACGACATTTACCACAAGTGATCCCAAGTTTCAACAACCGAATGATCAGGTTGAATGTGTTGTAAAAACCCCTGTGTGTTTGTAGCTCAGTGAGAATAAGCCACTTTTGCGTCGTCTGCAAACAAGAACGCAGTGCCATGCTTAGAAGTGCTAAAGATGCCATTAACGCAAAAAAGAAACAGTAAGGGACCAAGAAACGTTCGATTATAGTACTCCACTAGTGACTACATTAGGGAGTGAAAAACAAGTGTATTTTGTACCATTTGCTTCCTAGCCAGGAGGGGTGATGAAAGCGAAGTGAGTGGTGGTTCATTGATACTAACAACTTGTAACTTGTTGAAGCATCTAAGATGTGGGACTTGGTCAAATATTCTGCGTATATGAACCGGCAACCGAGCATCAATAGTTATCGTTGTGTGGTTACGAAAGTCTAGCTGGCATGCCACACAGGACCGGGTTTGTGGAAAGCCATGTTGTGTTTTATTGATCAATTTTTCTTAGAAGCAGCATCTAATCATTTCGTTCTTAACCATCCGTTCCATTATGATTGATGTGTGGTTTATCGGTTCGTAGTTAATAATCTTGAGCTGACCTACTTTTGTGTCGAGGAATGATAACCGACGTTTTTCATTGCGTTTGGTACGTCCTTGATTTGGAGATAGCACAAACAAGTTAAGTAGCGGCAAATAGAAACCAGTGTCAGCCTGTTTAATCAAGCTTGGAGGTGTCCCACTAGGTCCCTGGTGGGAGGATGGAACCAATCATAAAATCGTCTCCGTAACTTTCGCAGTTGTGAACTCTACATAGCACAAACATGCAGTGTTGGGCACGATAGGCATCGTTGGTAGGCGTGTAAGTTAATGTACTCAAGATTCAACCAAGCACGCGCTGAATGCTTCACACATAGCTGCCGGGTCGTCAGCGTATGATCCTTTCTGCTGGATTAGATATTTCAGGAGAGTCGTCCAGTCAGACCCATGTGCATGGGACAGGCTTAACAAATGGGCGATTTGGTTCAGGCCATTCAGGGCCTTTTGTTTTTCAGACATACGTTATGGCTCAATCAGAGCCCTAATTTTCATATGTGGGAGTAAAAGTAGAGAAATCTGACGTGCGCCGATACTTACGCTGAAGTTGATGAAACTTACGTCTTAATTTCAATGACTGAGGACTATGTTCCTTATTTTTGAGGCGCTTACGTCGAAATGAACCAAAAGCTTCGATGCACCGGATCGTGTGATTGCAGGTCAAGTACGCCGTCTGTTGTGTACAACCAGAGAAGAATAAACCGTTTCAATTTATCGCGCGTATGGTAGGACGAAAAGAATCCCAAACCATAGAATGGTACGCATGGAAACAGGTTGCAGATGCTGTTTTCATCATTTGTATCTCAAAATTGCATTGCACCACCTGTTGACTACTTCCCGGAAACTTATTGAGAACAGTCGCATAAGCATGCAGTACATCAAATGTACAATCAAGGCTAAATAAACGGTTGCCAAGTACCCCCTTGTATGCAGCAGGAAAGATCTGGGTATTTCGGTGATGCAATATCCTTTGGCCAGTTTGTCGTTAGTAGGTTAATTACTCAGCAACCAAGTTGCGTTTAAATGATAATTCTGTGGTAAATTTAACGGCTGGTACCAGATGCGCTAGTTCA